GGATGGTAATAGCGCCACTCTTTCAAGATTATTGTGGGAATTAAATGAGGTATTTAACAAAACACTTAGCACAATACCTGGTACTTAGTAAATTCTCAATAAATGTTAACTACCCATAACACCCTGCTTAAATCCAAGATACCTCAAAGGTTACAGCAGTTGTTTTTCTAAACAGTGGGATTACACAATTATGACGGTACTTTAAAAATGGATTTATTAGAAGAAAACAAAATATCAGAGTGCAATAAAAGTATTGTTTTGAAAAATCTGTTTTATATACATATATATGCGCGTGCGCACACACACACGGATTCTTAACTTAGGCTCATGTAGCTTTTCTGTGATGCCTTCCCTAAGTCACCTTCAATAGACAGCACACCTGTCTCTTCCTCAGAGCACCAAGGCATTGTGTATGGAACTCCACACCATTTACTGCACTGTGTTTGGTTATGTCTGTCTCCCCCATAAGAATGTAAACTGCAAGGGAAATGCCTTATATATCCCTGTATTTCTGGTGCCTGAAAAATACTGGGGGCTCAGAGAATTTCTATTGAATGAATGAACAAATCATCAAAATCTAGTAGGTATTAAAAACATACAAAAATATACTGAACAACTTTCATTTTTATCTGATTGAGTTTTATTACTGTATAGAAATTCAAATTTAGCACAAGTCACACAAAATTCATGTCACTCTCCCACAGGGCCTATCATACTCCCTTCCGCCTGAAAGTGGTGTGTACTTAAGAAACTGAAATGCATGATATGCAAAATGGGGTTTAAAAAGCAGAACACTGAAAAGAAGAAATAAGGTAGAACATCAAAGCATACAGATGGGACACACTGTTTAAATTTTATGTAAGCACATCAGCCACCTTCATGCTTTTTTGTTAGGGGCAAAGAGAGCTGACGGAAAGTTACTAGGCAGAAAAGGTTGTTTCTATATTGCAAACTGTCCAAGGATTTCTCTCCCAAGTACTGCAGGTACCATGAGAATACATTTAAATAACAACACGGGGCAGGTACCTGCTTAAGTACTTTACACAGAGAAATATGAAAAACTTTAATATCTTAAATATAAATATATTATCACCATCATTCTCGATTGTATTTAAATATAAGAATCAAAGTTGTACAAATTCATCAACTATGCCTTTATTACAGCACAAAAAGACAAACCACTGAAAATCAATTCTAAAGAGACATTTTTCACCACACTTAAGAGGTACCAGAAGTCAAAAGTTAACCGTCTACTAAATCAAGATTACTTGTAAAACTTGGTTTTACGTTTATCACTAAGAATAAAATAAATGCAAATAAACATTTGCTTCAAATGAGACTTAAGTTTTAAAATACGAGTTCCTTTAGAATAAAGTCATTTTCCAAAATATTTCTTTCTAAATCACTAGGAACTTGACTGAGAAATTGGAAGTTCCCCACTTTTTAAGACTGCACCTCTCTTGATATAGTAAACTATGTACATGATATGGGGGGACGGGGGTAAGAATGGCATCACTATCTTAGGTCTTAGGCATTTTGCCTTCTTCCCCCAGACTAACTAATGTGAATGATAATTTACCTACTTTTTAAACATCTAAGGAAACAGCTATTTCACAAAAGCTTTCTTCTGTAGTCATTTTAAGTTATTATGAAACTCTATTTCAAAATAATTTACTGAACTTGGACATTAAAGCCAAGTCTTAATAGTTAACACTGATTTACTGAAGGAAGAAAAAAGATGAGATGTGATTTATAGTCCGAACAATTAAAGTGGCAACAGATGTTTGCTACTTATTAAAGTCTTCCCTACATTGGAAACAGTAATGGAATGACCCTAGCAAGGGCGTCAACACTCACCAGTATGAATCTTCTCATGTCTCTGTAGCAGGTACTTCTGTATGAAACGCATGTCACATTGACTACATTGAAAGGGTTTTTCGCCTTAAAATAATTTCACATCCATAAATTAGTTACTAGATAAAACAACAGTTTATAGTTACTATTTCTGAGGAAAAATAAATCTTACAAGCCCAGATTTGGGGAAATTCCAAAGTATCCAAACAAATTTCTGATATTTGCTCATTAACAGAATTTTATTTCCTCTTAAATTTTCCCCAAATATTTTCAAATTTACATTCTCATAATCACACAAAAATGAGATTAAATTGGATCTATATCCTTTAAGGAAAAGAGGAAACAAACAAAACAATTTAAAACAGAATTTTCAAAAATCACGAGGTTGGAGGCACTCTAAAGGACTCTAGTATGTCGTACAGTTTTCCTTTTTATCTGGTGGATGATGCACCCATCCTGCTCTCTACAGCTAACCGTCCCTTTATTCTTTCACTTAATCTTCTTCAGAACCTTCAGAAGTTTCTGAGCATCTCTTTTTAAAGAAAATCCTTTCTCATCAAACTTTCTCTTCTGTTAAAGCCTTTCTTTCCTTTTAAGTATTCTTAGTCTGCTCTATGCTGACAAACTTCCCTACAATCCTGAATCTCTCCTGCTTCAGTAACTTCTCTCCTTCTCTTTTACCACAGAACCTTCTTGAGAGAAGTCTACCCAAAGTCTCACATTCTTCACCATCCACTTGTGCTTTAACCCTTACACTTTGCTTTCTTACATGCTGCCCATGATCTCGCCTTGCTAAACTTCAATGAACTTTCCTCAGTTGTCTATCCCTCTCCATTCTCCTGAAAGTTTTGACGTTGATCGTGTCGTCTTTGAAATTCTCTCTTCTTTTGGCTTCTGGGACACTGTATTTTCCTAATTTATCCAATCTCCCCCCTTCATTACTCCTTTTTTTTAAGTCCTTGATTCACCCTACATGTCTAGTCTGTTTCTCCAAATACCAGTGATCAGTTTTTAGTTCTGCTCTCTACAAGTTCATGATCTTAGCCATCATTTGTCAAACTCTACCTGGCTGTCTTGTACAGAAAAATAAATGTTGACAGGCTTTTAATAGTGCACTCTTTAATTATTTCTCTAACTAAAAGGAACACATTAAGCCAAATAACTGTCCTGACCAAGGCTATTTAATTAATTTTGCACACCCACGCTCATTGTTTCCAAATTTAAAGGTTTTGCTGTTTTCTTCTGACACCCTGGCCTATGAATCTCTGATTTGGAATGTCAGGTTAGCTATGGTCTTAGGAATGAATGACATTTATGGGAGATGAAAATAGCAAAGATAATAATTTTAATGGCAATAAGCCCATTTTAATTCAAGAAATACCTGTATGAATGAAGACATGTCTCTGTAAGTGATAGTTCGTTCTAAAGGCAGCATTGCAGTGCTCACAAACATGAGATTTAGGGGTTTTCAAACCAAGTGATCCATCCTCATTTATTGTAAGGATCTAGTTAAAAAAAAAAAAGGCAAAAACAAAAGAAAGAAGTTTTTAAAACGTAATTAAATACTAACTGATAAAAAAGATAATGCCTTTTAATGCGAACAATGGTCACCAAAGATTATGAAATATTTTTTCCCTAAATAATCTTGAAAAAAACTGTAATGTTATCATTAATTGTAAGAGAGTATAATGTGGCTCAGAATGGGTAAAAATTACTAATAAAATCCTGGAAGCTATTTAAGTAAGATCTTAGTACTCTGCCCCCCTCCCCTCCAAAGCTAATGCCCAATGGAGTCCTAAGTATTGTCTGTTAGAGCGAGTTCAGCTTCATTCTCAGTTTCAAATCCTCACAAAAGCAGGACAAACATCTACTTTTTAGACACCACCTAAATATAATCACAAGGGAGTGGTTAAATAAATCATGAAAAATAAATACAATTTAACATTACATAGTTATTAAAAAAAAAAAATGAGAAAGCTCTCTATGTACTTATATGGAAAGAGCTCCAGGATTTATTGTTAAGTGAAAAAAGCAAGGTTTAGAGCCCAGTGTATGTTTTCGCTAATTTTTATAAACAAGGGAGTACATATAGGAATATTTATATTTGCTTGTATACGTGTAAAAACTATTTGAGTAGGATATACACTAAAATGTATATAACCTTGGTTACAGGGCTAGAGAAATGAGCAGATGGGAGATAGGGTGAGAATGAGACTTTGTACTGTGCACATTTAAAACATTTTTTTTGACCATATAAATGTTTATCTAGTCAACTTTTTTTTTTTTTCTTTTTCAAGGGAGTGAAAACTAAGGTCTGTAATCATCCTAGAGTAGAATTTGGAGTCTAGTTCAGTCCAGAATCACTAAGGTTATTCTAATATTATTAAGCTATTACTAAACATATTTCCAAAAAATATTTGCTAGATAAACAAATTAGAGATGAGTATAGAGAAGGAAGATAAAAGACAAGGAAATCAATCTTATTTTCCTGGGCTTCTTGAGGTTAACAATGTTGTGGACCCCATCTGGATATGGCCTGAGAGAAGAAACTACGGTTGGGCCTTGGGTATTTCAATTTATCAACTACTTATTCAACATGCAACATTCAACTGCCTCTCTAATCAGACATATGGCTGAGTAAAAATGATAAATGCCTCCTTTTTTCATTACTGAGGTGAGAAATAAGATGAAAGACTATAGAAGTGAGCGAAGAAGCAAAGAAAACTAGGAGCTAAGATCAGGAGGAACATGGCAAGTCAGGGAAAAAAGTGCTGGAGGTAGCGGCATACAGAGTGGGAGCTAAGAAATTGTGCCCAACACAGGGTTGAGAAATCTAGGAAACATTGTGAGAAATATAAACGTTTGTGGAAACTAATTAGGGCCTACAAGTACACAGCTATGACCCCTTCTCAAACCTAGGCGAAAAGGGAAGTAAGGGGGAAAAAAAGGCTTTAATCTTTTTCTTTTTAAACTTTTTTTTTTACTTTAAATTCAGGAAGACAGTTAAGCCTATACTGTATGTAAATCAATGGTAATTATTATGCAAATTATACAGGGCATTTGGGTTCTGGGCAAACTGCCAATGTGGTCAACAATGCTTCAAAGATTATGCACTAAAGTCATAGAGGGAAACATTTGGCAGGAGAATGGAAGTGGGTGTCACAGCTTCCTGAAGAGAGTCACTGAGGACGGAAAGTTTCATCTCTGGCCATTCAGTGAAAAATTTTTTCAACCCCTCCAAGCCACATAATCATATGCAAGTTAACACTGCAAAAAGAAAAACACAAAACCTTTTAGCTATGATTCAAAAGATCCCTAGCATAAAACAAAACAAAAATGTTAAATAAAAGAACTAAAAACATAACAGTACCAGGTATTTTTTCACATATGTTGATTACAAATGACCAGATCCAAGTGCCAAAAAACATGGCAGCTCGATAGCTTTCTGTGGCATAGCAACTGTGAGGAAGGGCTTTGTGGGGAACAAATCCGGCCCAAGTTACTCAATGTAAAACGGATGTAATCCTTGCCTGGACAAAGCCCTATTATAGAGAGAGTTAAGGAGTTCTAGATCATTGTTTTCTGGCACTAGAGGTAATGCTGCCTTTTATTGTGGATCCAAGCCTTAAAAAGGTGAATTTCATGGATGAAGCAACTACCACTGCCTCATGAAAAAAAGGACTGAAAAATCTAGCATTTTTATAAATCCAAGATAGAAAGACCAAATTCTTGGGCATTTAATACATCATTCTTCCTTTTTTATCTAGGCCAGAGTAACAAACATCTTTGTTGAACGGACATAGTAAAATTTATCTTGCCTCAAAAAAAGCATCAATGGTCTTTTCAATTTGTAATCTACTCTAAATATATCCACCCAATTTTGTCTGTTGTATTCACCACTGTAACTCCAGTGTTCCAAAAGCTGGCACACAGCGCGGACTCTATAATTGACACAGCTACCTGCTATCTCTACCAGATATTCTTCATAGCTCACCACTTCATTCTTTTAAAATAATTTTGTTAAAAGTGACACTTCTCCATTTTTCAGTCTTCAGGTAACTGAGTAGTGCCACAGAGACACGACATACGAAGCACAAAGTCCCTTTGTTGTAAAGAAATGGCACACTGATGCAGTAACATTTTCTTGGTATAGACTTGTCTTCTTTTCTTGCTCACACCCTTTCAAGATCTTTTAGTAGAGTCTTACCTGCTAAAGATGATTTTCTTTCTTCCCCTCAACATTAAGAATACTGCATCACTATACAAGTAGATTTTATGAACGCCATTACAACTAAAGAACTTAAATCCTAAGATGCCTACTATATATAGCATTTCCAGAAGCTTTACCTTGTCTCCTGTCACTGCTACTACAGGAGAAATATGGTATATTATAAAGACCAAGAAATCAGGCTATATCAAGAGTAATTAGCAATAGTCTAAACAATACTCAACATATTTGATTTTTTCCTTAACTATTTAGTAAATTCAAAACAGAATTTTACAGAGAAAGTCTTCAATACCAAATAAAATGTGGTCAATCAGCTTTCTTGATTTCATGGGTCTCCTGTAGATATATTTTCTGTTCTGAGCTAAATCTGTTCTCAGTCAGCTACCTACATATATGGTGAAGGTTGTCTTAAAAAATCTACTAATTTTCATCAGGCAAAGCCCTAAAACTCTCCCTATTCGATTCAGACATTTTTCACTCTTCAAGGGTCACTGCCACTGAATGACTGAAACATGGCATATCTCAAGGAGAAAAAGTTCTGCTCTCTTAAAAGGCAGATGTGATTTTCCCTACTCTATATATGAACTACTAAAGTTATTAAAACATATTTTAAACTAATGGTTATGATTATATAACATATTGTAAACTAGGTACGTTTTACCATACATTCTTAAATCAATCTAAATCTACTTCTAAACCACCAAAAGCCAAAGACAATTTCGAAGAGAACAGTTTGATTTAACAGTTTAAATTTCTCACCTATCATGAGTGGCTTTATTGCAATTGTGGGGAATGGGGAAAGCTTTTAAAATTCTCTTTACTCTCCAAATCCAACGAAATGGAAAAATAATGCAACTCGAAAAAACACACAACAGAAAAACGAAGTTGTTTAGAGCAACAACCATGAGATTTTAACCATCCTAGTTATCTCTAATATCCCACTTTCACACTGTCACTTTCTTTCATTGTTCCTCATTATCAAATTTCATTTTTAAATGGCCAACCTTTGATAGCTCTAGAACATGAAATTTATAATTAGCTAAGAAGGAAACTACACACAACCCAACAAGTATTACATCATAGAAGTCATGGATTTTCTCCACAGGAAGAGAATGAAGTTCCACATTCCTCCTCAAGGACAAAGTTTGTCAGATTTAATTTTACACATACATTTTCACTTTGGAAAAAAGTTGGTTTAGCCCTAGCTTGTAAATATCAGGAAAGAAGACATATAAAAGGATGTAGACAGCAGATTTTTGATGCGGACAGTTAGTGGATGTCATACTAAAGATAAAAGATGATGAACTAATGGCAGCACTACATACAAGGACGATTATAAAAAGGAAGAGAAACAAAGAAACAGCACTAAAACATACAGCATTCTGTAGTAATTTAGCGTAAAGACAAACAAATCACAATATCACCTGAGGCCCGCCCGAAAGAAAGGGGTTCACAGATTAACCAAATAACACAAGCAAGTCTTTAGCGTATCAGTAACTATTTGGAGAGGGAATGGGGGAAGAAGAATCTCAGTCCTACTATCTACAATAGTATAACAGTGGTGTAATTTAGTGAAAAGGGAACTTAAACGATATAGACCTTAAAAGTCCAAGGACAGAGAAAGTTACATACTGTGTGATTCCAACTACGCGACATTCTGGAAAAGGCAAAACTACAGAGACAATGAAAAGACCAGTGGTTGCCAGGAGATCAAGGGCAGGGATGAAGGATGAATACACGGAGCACAAGGCATTTTTAGGGCAGTGAAACTGTTCTGTGTGATAACTATAATGGTGGATACACGACATTATGTAGCTGTCAAAATCTATAGGCCTGTACAACACAGACAGTAAACCCTAATGTAAAATATGAACTTTAGTTAATAATAACGTATCAGTATGGGCTGATCAATTGTAACAAAGAGACCACAGGAATGCAAGGAGAAATAATGCGCAGGAGGGAGGGGGAACATGGGAACTCTCTGTACTTTTAGCACAATTTTTCTGTAAACCTAAAACTGCTGTAAAAAACACTCTATTAAAAAAAAAAGAAAAAAGAAAAAAAGTCCAAGGACACAACTGTATCGTAAGTAGAGTACAATAACTGATGTTCAGCATAATGACTCTGAGTTTCAGAAAAGGTTGTTTCTTTGCTGTTTCCTGAACAGTAAGGCAAAGAAGTATGTGATCTATTTTAAAGATTTACATCAAAAAATTTTTTAAAATTCTTAAGTTACAGTTCAGTTCTCTAGAAAAAAATAATTTACCTAGAATACATAAAGCCCTGGGAAAATTAGATAAATAAAATACTAATACAGTATTTTAACTCATTTCCTTCCTTAATCTTCTCAAGTACTATTCCATATTTCCTGTTTTCATGCTCAGTCTTATAATTAGTTCATCTTCAACTCCCACTTCTTCCTAAATCAAGGTAACATGAAGAAGAAAGTGTAACAAATGCCTGGTATTATCTATTTCTCTCTTCCTTTTAATTAAATTTTCCTCATTTTATACCATTCAATTTCAAATCTTTTTGACACTCAAATCCCAAATTTCAGAAGACAACCAGTGGAATGTAATAAAGCACTGGGAAAGAATTCTCTATATAATTTATAATCTACTTGGTTTGTGGAATATGCTCTGCCTTCGTAAATGCAGCATAACTTTGAATAATCACTTTCTACTCAGACCACCTAAAGTTTGTAACAGTTCCTTTCTGCATTAACTAATAAGAGATCCTAGAACATAACAGGTCCTCAAATTATTTGTTGAATGAATGAAAAAGGAAATATATTTCAGAGTAAGGAGAATTCAAAGTGCCCTGCTCTATCTCACTCAACTGCTAAGGCATATGAAAAAATTTATAACACGTTTACAATACTAGGTTAGATAATATTGTTATATTTTACTGAAAAAGAGTCTTAGAATTTATTAATGTTAACAAACCTCATAAAATCCTTCTGAGGTGGGAAATGCTATCTCTTAAAACAGCAGAGTCAGGTGGTGGTACCTCATTTATTGAGAAACTTCAACTATCAAGACTTGAGGTCCTTGTCACAAAACAATTTGTGTATTAATTGTTTAATGAGAAACTAATGTGCTCTGCAAATTTTCACCTAAAGCACAATTAAAAAAAAAAAAAAAAAGACTTGAGGTTCTTAAGCTTAAGTGTGTATCACAATCTGGAAGAAAAGACCTGGTAATTGACTCCTGTAAAGATTACGGCCTAGAAAACCCTATGGGGCAGTTCTACTCTGTCACATGGGGTTGCTGTAAGTCAAAAATTGACTCAACAGCACCCAATAACAACAAGGTATCATGATCACCTTGGACTATTTTAAAGTATAGATGGAACCCCCCTGAATAAGAATCTACAGGGGTGGGGGTGGGCATCTATAATGGAAAAAGCACAGCAAGAACGGAGAACCACTGACATAAACCCACCGAGACTGAACTGAAATCTTCTAAGACTTCTCACAAACTTCTAGCAAATGTGGTTATCTATAGTCCTAACCCACAACACAACAAAAAGAGATTGAAAGGGCAAAGGAAAGTGATGTTAAGTGGCCACGCAGGCAAAGAAATGTAAATACGAACAGCATGTCATTAAGGAAAGAAACAGTGGAGCAATTAAAAGCTGTCAAAACACACTTGAAAGTCTAGCAGTCAGGAGTTTTCAGGGTGAAGGGAAAAAAGCCCCAATATCTCAGCCATCCCAGAGGGCTTCATTATAATACATGTGACTTTAAAAAATGTTGACATCAGTCGTGAGACAGTAAAAGCTGAATTATGTTCAAACATACTATATTTAAAAAGAAACGATATACTGAAGATTTCTAACAAAGTGGTTAAAATAAGATAAAATCTGTAATTTAAAAGGGGCAGCCTTCTATTAAGTAGAAAATTTACTTTTATAAGCAGTTTATTCCATGAGAGTGTCAAAAAACCTTGATCTAGAGAACATTCCCTAGCTTGATTACCCTCTTCTTCATCAGACATGTTTCCAAACATATTTTGACAATTTTCAAATGCCAAACGTATCTTACAATAACTAGGTCTTGTCATATAAGAAAGGTTAGAAAGCAATTATTGCTTTAAAATCCATGGCAGCTAAGGGCGACCTTATAGTACTTCTCATCGTAGAGCTTACTCTGAAGACAGCTACATTCATATGAATGTATAAGCTCTGATATCTGTTTTTTTCTCTAAAAATCTATCACATTACTTTAGTTAATTTCCTGTACAGGCCCCCAATCTAATGAGACTCAATGATGACACATACTCAAAATATTCATATTGGCAAAATTCAAGATTTGGGAAAGAGTGGAATCCTCTAAGCAGAATAAATTATAATTATTTGAGAAACTTATAATTATTTTTCAGGAATTTAAAACACATAGCACTTACTGATTTACAGACCTGAGATAAAATTATTTTCTTTTCATACAAAGGGCATAAAGAGTTACTTTAATGAAAAATCTCTAGTGTTAATTTTTAAACTCACTCCTGAGAAAATATAAAATAACTCACTGGTTATAACTCAAAGTTTTAAGATTCCAGATACTTTCCACTCATCTGGAGACTGCAGACCAGTGTTTAAAACAGCCCACAACCATTCGTATATAACACGTCAGTACAATTTAAAATTAATTCTCAAACAGGTTTTCATTATTCTCACACCTCTGATATACATTATTTCTAGCCATTTCACCCTCCTAAGAATTCCCTTAAAAGACTGCCCTCAAACATTTTCTTATATATTATGCTTAGGTCTAATCTTTCATCTGGCAACTATATACGTATATAAATACTTAACAAATAATACCTTTGGAAATAATATAAAATAGTACTTTATAAATGACTTTAATTATCTCAAATTAGGTAAGTATCTTAAGCTCTGTAAAAATATGACTGTATTGCCTCTATTTTAGAAATGCCTAGAACATACCACCAAAAAAAGATTCCAAATAACACTCTACTGGAAGTAGAATCACAGTTTAGTTTTAATCAGAATTTCAGAAAGACACTACACTCAGGAATAGTACCAGAAAAACATGGCAATAAAATAACTAAAATGACCTAAAATGTACATATATTACGTTGTTTTTAAAGACTTGAAACAGATTCCCCACAGATGAGTAGCGAACCCAAAGTAATATCATCAGTCATGATCACAAATTATTTTAGAAATTAATTTCTCCTCTCAAAACCTGGTATTGTTCTGTATAAGAAGAATCTGATCTACACCTTCATGTAAAAAAAGGGGGGTACCATGTAAATTACTAGGAAAAAACATTAAGACCCCAAAAAAAGTGAGGAATACAGGGAGAGAGAGAAGGGAGGGAATGAAGGAGGGAGAGAGACAGAGGAATGCAGGAGGGAGGGAAAGGGGGGACATAGAAAGCATCAGACATGAAATTTAAAATGCCGATAAGTATGAAAAAAGCTTAATATGACTGGTAACTAAAAAAATGCAAATTTAAACTACAATTAGGCAGCCACCTTAAGCTCTAAAATAAGCAGCTCCTACTCAAGGCTGGTAAAGTGTAGACACACACCTCAGCTCCACCGCTGGTGGGAAATGTCCCTGGTCCAACATTTCTGAAGGGAGTAACATTATCAAGACACCTTTTTAAAAACTCACGCCCTTTGACTCAGTAGTGCACAAAGATCCATAAACAAATACAAGTGCAGCATGATTTAAAACAGAGAGACAGAGAATACATCTTAAATGTCCAACAACAGAGTATTTGTTAAATATACTGTTAATATAAAAAAATATTATGCAGCTAATAAAAATGTTTATAAAACCATTAATAACACTTTAAGTGTAAAAACAGCTTACACACACTGAAGTATCTAAAATCAAGAAATTAAAAAAAATACACAAAGTTTTTAAAAGATACAATGGGAATATGGCAGAAAATTCAGGAAACGTAAAAATGTGACCATGGGTTATTTTAGTCTCTATATTTTTTAAACTTTGCTATAGTCGGCATACTTAAGTATCTCAAAAGCAATGGTATGCTGGAAAATGTTTAATGACCTGTTAGTCAAAGGGCTGGGAAGTGTTTGCTGATTTCCATGGCGTAAATATTCTCACCATGGCCAATTTCCAGCTACCAACAGTTTTAGCAACTGGGTTGCAAATTCCAGAAATCAGCATACCAATGAGTCCAAAAGCAAACAAAATATATAAATAATAGTGATAACTAGGATTTCAAATCACAAATGCCCAGAAATCGTGTCCATTTAAAAAAAAAGCAAAAAAACATGTAGGCAACTCCTAATGTTTACTGGGTCACTTGTTTACAAATACATTCATTCACCTATAAAATGTTTATTGAGGGCCTACTAATGCACATTCTTGGGATACAGCTATGAATAAAACAAAGTCCCTGCCCTCATGGAGCTTACATTCTATGACAAGTATCCCACAACCTTTTTTCCTGATGAACAACTGGTATTGAATCTTTCTGAAACCTTAATATTAAAATAAGCAAAACTAACATGAATGAGAAACAAGGTCACTGCATACCATCTCCTCATTTTCAGAGACAAGAGAAACATGGAGAAAGAAAGTTCATTTTAGGAAAAAGACAGACATGGTGAAGAGAAGTGGGGCAAACAGTGAGAGAGATGGCCCACCAACTCCATGCAGGCATGCATCCCTTGCTTCCTCCTGGTGAAGCTGGTGTGACACTCCAACCTCACTAACCACGTGACTTTTGCTTCTGTCTTATGAGCAGCCAGGTTACTGCCCATGAGATTAACCAACAGGTTGGGATTAAAAGGTTAGGGACCACCATTTTACTATATTCTCTTACTTTTGCAGGAGAACGTTGTTTCCTCTTCTTCTTTTTCTGTAAGTCTACTGGTTCTCTGATTTGCTTTTTGTCTCTCATCAGCTGCTCAGATACATCAGTAAAAGTAATTTCCTGCTTTACACTTATCTGTTAAAAAAAAAAAGCCAATTTTAGAAATGAATAAGAAGTCCCTGTGACAAAAAGCCATTGCATGTTTAATCCTTTGCTAAAACCTACATGTGGGTGCTCCCAGAATGACTATTTATATCTGTATGCCAGCCAACTGAATAGAGTGTTAAAGAATTCCTTAATAGGCAAATGAGAAATAAGAATCAAAAGTACATAAAATGAAGGATAAACTAAGATTAAAAAAAAAAAACTATCTGGAAAAAAGATGAAAGACGTTCTGGGAAAGATGATCATAAAACTTAGCAAAATAAAGTATAAGTTAGAACACAGTAACATCCATTTCATTCTCACATTTAAGGAAACTGACGCTGAAGTTAAAAGCACAAGAAAGGGTTAAGTCCCTAAAATCAGTAAGATATTGGGGGATAAAAGGGGTATCTAGACATCTCGAGGGGCGCTCCCTCAATCTATAAAATACAAGAAAACAATACATTCTCAATGACAGAAAAAAAGAAAGCAATACAAAATTCCAGAAGATGATCGCATCAAAAGAAAGGCAAGACGAACTAACTGAAAATTTAATTATTTTTGTCTCAACACTACTGACAAGATCTTAGCCGGTATTTTCCTGGCCTTCTACTAGAAAACATGACCAAATATGCATTCAGAATTGCACGTGGATGGTTTTAGGCTGCTAGTTTGCACAAGATATAATGCTAACTACACAATAAATAGAGAAATACTACAAGAAACAGTAAGATTTCACCAATGCTATGCTATCTTTCGTTCTTGGTTCTCACAGATATGAAAGAGTTGGTTGTCCTAAAAAATTAATTCACCAAGGTTCTAGGACCACTGATGGTAACATCAATCCTCATCATATTTGATGGTGTTCTGTCATCCACTCCTCATTGCCACATTTTCAATCTGTCCTTGAAATGAAAACACAAGGATCTTAAAATGAACTCAGCAGGCTATGAAATGCATTAAAAATCCTTGAGAATAATCCTAGAAGTACAACATGCTAATCGTCACATTTTCAAAAAACACACTTAAAGAATGATACAGAATATTATGAACATCTTACAGATTCTTAGTGTAAAGTTGGAAACCAGACGTGCAGAAGGGGTTCATAGGGAAAATGCAACATAAACCAGGGATTTCAGATTGACAAAATAAGAAACTGCAAGCTTTCCTGAGTTCCTGAAATGTAAGCAGTATATATACCAGTCTATAATGTATAAATTGATAAAGAGAATCACAAATCAAGGAGAACTTTGGCACAAAAACATGATGTAAATGAAGACTGAGCTAGTAATTCTTTCTATCGGGTTACAGAACAGTACTAGTCCCATCCTTATGAATTCTTTTAGGTTCATTTACATAGAACATACAGTGATGAAATCGCCACCAACAAGGCTTTGGAATACACATCCTACCACCTCTGAAGTGATATTCACTGAAATACAATTACCTGGGCTGAGCATGAGACGAGGATAGATGATAAACACTAACTAAGCAGCTATGTTTTATTTTGTAGGACCAGCAAAAAGTACTTAAAAGATTTTGGTCAGCTTATAAATTGGAAAGAAGCCACAAAAATGTAGCAAGTAAGAGTGTCAAGTAGAGCATAAGCCAGATTCACAAATAAGCGCTACAATATCACAAGCCAAAGAACAGCCTTTACATACAGGGACTGAAAAAGATTAATACGTGTGTCTGAACCTTTTAGTTATCTCCACATACATGGAAAGTGATCGTATTAGTGCTGTTATTTTCAAATGTAAGGCATATTATATTAGTTTTGTGTTCTCAGTATTACTTTTCATCTAAAATAAACCAAATTAATCAAAGCAGGCATCAGCAGAGCTGTGGTTTTTGAAAAAAAAAAAAAATGATTTGCTGGATTTTTGAAACACTCATCAGAGCATCAAGAAAAGCCAGTCAGAGCAGCGACACGAACAGACATATGCACACCCATGTTCACTGCAGCATTATTCACAACAGCAAAAAGATGGACGCAACCTAAGTGCCCGTCAACAGATGATGGATTAACTAACTGTAGTATATACACACAGTGGAATATTACACAACGATAAAGAATAATGATGAAGCCGTGAAACATCTCACAACACAGATGCATTTGGAGGACATTATGCTGAGTGAAATACGTCAATCACAAAAGGAAAAAGATACTGTATGAGACTACTACTACAAAGTAACAACAAAAGGTATACACCCGGAAAAAAAATTCTTTGATGGTTACCGGGGAAGGGAGGGAAAACCACCAATTAGGTAGAAGACACGAGTTAATATTGGTGAAGGGAAAGGCAATACATAATATGGGGAAAGTCAGTACAACATGACCAAGGCAAGAGAGGACACTGAGTGGAACGTAAGCATAAAGGGCAACTATGGTAACCACCATAGCTCAGACAATCCTGCAGCAATAGCATTAACAAAGGATAATTTACAAAAGGACAAACAGGTAGGCAGATACACCAAGAGGCGTGGGAGGGATGTAAGGGAACATACCCGCCAGCAAATACAGGTTTAGTGGTGGATACTTCTACCTACATGACTGTAGGTACGGCTCATACAGAGCACACAAGAGGTAAAGTCAGGGAAATCTCTTAAATATAACCCAGCATCTTGCAGGATGAAGTTCCTAGGCTAGAAGACAAAGGACCATAGACTCAGGGAACATCTACATCAATTGGTACAAGATAGTAAATAAAGACAGTGTTCTGCTATCCTACTTTGGTGAGTAGTGTCTGGGGTCTTAAAAGCTTGCAAGCAGCCATCTAAGACACAACTATTTCTCCCTTCCCGTGGGAAGCGAGGGAGAGTGAAGGCGACCAAAGACTCACAGCCTACATGACCCTAAGACCAGAAGAACTAGATGGTGCCCAGACACTACTACCAACTGCTCTGACTGGCATCACAATGCGGGGTCCTGGACAGACTGCGACAAAACTGCAGAACAAATGAATCAAATTCACAAAAAAGACCAGATTTACTAGTCTAACAAAGACCGGAGGAACCTCTAACACTAAGGCCCTAAGACACACCCTTCTAACCAGGAAATAAAGCCATTCCTGGAGACCACCTCTCAGCCAAACAACAGAGAAGATAAACAATAACACCCGAGACGAATGCAATCTTTAGAACAATCAATTATGAGAAGGCAGGATGGGGTAAATAATCAGGCCAAAAGAAAATAGGGAAACCAGGGCAGAAATGGGGAGAGTGCTGACACACTGTGGGGAATGAAACCAGGGTCATGAAACACTTTATGTACCAACTATAGAATGGGAAACTATTTTGCTATTTAAAAAAAAAAAAAAAAGACAGACAAGCAACAGTCCAAGAAATATATCAGATTTTTAAAAAACAAAAACAAAATCTTTAGTTTCTTCCTGTCACTTGAGCGTATACCATTTCACCTAGTCCATGAGCACCCTTCTGTCTACATTCCATTATATTAATTTCAGTGCTGCTCCTGCTACCAGCCCAGAAATACCACCACCATCACCACCACCCTACCCACTCTTCTTTTATCAGATTTGACTAAACCCAGACATTTTTCTCCGAAAACTCTAAGACTTCTGCTCATTCACCTATACATTCTCCCTCCAGCCACTCAATCTGATACTATCGAAGCCATCAGGCATGACTCCCACTTCATATCTATCTCCTACACTCACCTACTTCCTCCCCAACATTCTCAGAAAAGGCAGAGTCCTATTGAGTCACGTTTCCTTTTCCTTACTTCCGCCCAAAGAGGGTCTTTCTCGTTAGTTCTAAAATCTCTCTTAAGTATCCTGATTTTTTCTCATTTTCAATCTCTCCCTCTTTATTCTTCTGACCTTAAGTATAAATACTCACTGTTGTCAAGTCAATTCCAACCCATAGCGACCCCACACGGTTTCCAAGATTGTAAATTTCTACAGAAGCAAACTGTCACATCTTTCTCCCATGGAGCCACTGGTGGTTTGGAACTACCAACCTTTCGGTTCACAGTCAAGAGCTTTAACCACTGCACCACCAGGGCTCCTTAAACATAAACAAGTCTCTTTATATTGAATGAAGCCCTGGTGGTATAGTGGTTAAGAGCTTGGCTGCTAACCAAAAGGTCAGCAGTTCAAATCCACCAGCCGTGTCCTGGAACCCTATGGGACAGTACTACTCTGTCCGATAGGGTCATTATGAATCGGAATCAACTCAATGGCAATGAAGGTTTTTTTTTCTCTTTATATTGAAAAAAACCCTTCCGCTGATTCTAATTACTAATAACTCAAGCCCAGAATGCAGAATGACTTAGGAACTTATAATTTCTGACCCAACAATGAACTGTCTTACTTTCATATTTAACCGTTTCACGTACCCATATCTTGTCTTGAAGGAAGATATTCTTCTTTGGTACTTCCCATAATAGCTTTCATGCATTTATTTATTCATCAGCTACTAAGTACCTACTATGTGCTAAGTTCAGTCTACTATAACAAAAACATTTACTGAGAGCCTAATATGTGCGCAGCACCATTCTAGATACTAAAGGCACATTCTAGAAACTGAGGTCTCCTTTCCAAAGGTCTTAAAATCTAAATAAAAACCAAAGACGGACTGACACAGTGGCCGCAACAATGGGCTTAAGCGTAACAACGATCATGAGGATGGCACAGGACCAGGCAGTATTTTGTTCTGTTGTACACTGGGTTACTATGAGTCGGAACCAACCTGATGGCACCAAACGACAACAAAATCTAAATGGAGAGTTAAACGATGCATTACAACAGAAAAAGAACTAGTAATTCAAGATAGCACGTTAAGCTCTAACAAAAGGAACGGTACAGGCGCTAAGTGCAGGAATTCAAAGGCAGAAATAAGCACGAGCTGAAATAACTGCAAAAGTCTTCATGGACAGAACAAGAGACTTAATCAGACCTACAAGTTTGTATATTTATATATCTCCACTTCTAATTTTTTCTTCCAAACCTGCTATTCTTCCCAACTTC